ACAATAACGACCGCAGATTAGTGTAAGTGTAATAATGGGGAAACGGGAAGGTATAACCAGAACATCTCTGTCAGTTAAGGAAGTTACAAACACTTTTTATGAAGATAGTAAAAGGTTACAGCAGGATCGCCACTGGCTTCTATTCTGAGTCATATCTGATAACGTCTCTAGCCACTGTGTCGCACTGTCTCTCAGATCCCAGTCAGGGAGTCGTGAAAGATCAACAGAAGCCAGCCCTTTGCAGCTTTTTTTCATACCACGACACCATGTTATACACTGACCACCTCTCCGCTTTTTCCAACCAGCCCGAGCTTTGGCAAATAATGCACGCCGAGGATTTCTCTGAGACGACATTTGTAGAACATGTCCAAGCCACCGAAGTCGATGTGTTCAAGATGGTGACACTAATTGGATTATCGTCTCTGCGCCCAAACACACGATGCCGAACCTCTGCATTACTAACATGGTGTTGCCACTGAATGTCAGCAATCCTTCGGAGACAACAATGATCGAACACAGAGAGTCGTCTAACATCCTCAACTCGGAGAGTCCAGGTTTCACAAGCATAGAGCAAAACTGCTCTCATCGATGCGTTGTAGATCAGACCTTTTACAACCAAACTAACATCACGAAAGTGCCAAAGGTGGCCCGGGTTGGCATAAGCCGCTCTGGTTTTCACTATACGTGCATCGATCTCATAACTCACGCCACCGCCAGCACTTATGCAGCTACCCAGATACACGGACTTCTCGACTACTTCAATCTGCTCACCACCGAGGGCGAGTACAGGATTAGAATCCTGCCAGTCAACATCATCTGCATACCCAAGGTCGAGAAGTCTTTCTCCAGGCAACAGATCGGCACGGTCATTACTTGCATCCATCAGAGCTGTTTCCAGAATGTCATCGATGGCAAATTTGAAGAGGAATGGTGAGATTGGGCAACGCTATCTAACCCCACTGCTTCAATGGAACAATGAAGGAAGGTGGTTGTATGCCCTCACTCTGCCTGATGTGTTTGTATACAGGGCATTTAAGATGTTAATAAACTTCTCAGGCACACCCTTCTTCAATAGACAATCCCAGAGAACAGTCCTGTCCAACGAATCAAAGGCAGCCCTGATATCAATAAAACACTACGATTTTTGGCTTGTGATAAATATGATGGTGTTCTAAAATTTGGCGGGGGGTGTAGATATAATCAATGCATCCTCGACCAGAACGAAAATCAACCTGCTCCTCGAGAGTCAACCTTTCGCAAGTTTTAAACAACCTACGAATTCTGACAGAAGCGAATAGTTTGGACGCGATCGGAAGTAGACTTATCCCCCGATAGTTGTTACAGGAACGACGTGAACCCTTTTTAGAGACAGGGACAACTATCGACTCATTCCATGACGTTGGAACACTCTTTAGCTCCCAGACCTTTGTAAACAACTCAGTCAATTCCTTAGCCAAAAAGTCACCATCATCTTTAAAAGGAGCCGGAGGTAATTCATCTGTGTCCGGTGATTTGTAGCGTTTAAAGAGTTGGAGTTGCTTGTGGACTTCCGCCTCATTTGGTGGATCAGTCGTCACCGACCATGGATTGCAGGACAGTGTGATCGATGTTGCCGTAGCAACAGGCCAGTTGAACTGCCCTTCGAAAAACTCTACCCATTGTCCAAGACGTCGATAAATGTTAGTAATTGGCATCGCATCATCTTCACAGATTGTTTCACTCACACCAGACTTCTTGCTGCCAGTGGCTCGGATGAGTTTGAAGAGCTTCCGGTAGTTTCTAGATGCAGCTACTGCTTCCAGCTCACTAGCACGCTCCGACCACCAGGCTTCTCGGTCCTTACTCAAGCTTCGCCCAATTTCATTGCGTAACAGCCTTTGTTTGTGGTCAAACTCATGGTCACCCGGCGTAGACTGACGGGCTTCGATCAGTTGTAAGGAGCCAGAAGAAACCCAGTGCTTCTATGCGTGACGTTTCGCGAAGCTGCAGTCGACTTTACTCGCCATTTTCATGGCGTCATGCAGTTGCAACCAATGCTCATCTATACTATTAGAAATACGAGCTTATTCTCTACGATAATGTAATATAGGCTAAAATACTTTGAAAATTAAATAAAGGCTAAAATTAACTATTGCTCTACTAAGAATTTAGTCGCACTAATTTCATCCCAACATAAAACAATGCATTTGTTTGTTTCGATGCAAATATTCCAGTTATTTATAATAAAATATCCTACTAAGTAAACTCCGTAAGTTGCTTGATGTACCAGCATTCATTTAAGGTTCGAATCTTTTAAACTAAATAAGACAGATTTTCGACCGTCGGTTACTAACTGGTTTATTACCACAGTATTTCTAAATCGTTTTCTTTTTTTAATTTCATTTGAAGCTTAACGTATCTTTAAAATAGTGTACACACTTGGGGTAATCTGCAAATCCTATGGACAGCTGGCTCAAACACTTGTTTTGTATCGATGATTATCTTTCCAGAACAATCAGAAATTTAACGATATACGAACTTAGTTTTTGGACGTTGAGGTGTTATTAATGTATTATACCATACACAGTAGTCTTCGGTTGTCAAGTGCTATCAGCAAAGACATTGTTAAAATTTTATATCATACTTCCCCGCTTACTTGTTGCAGATCGTAGCTTCAGATAAAAGCTTGGAAAATTGTTTACAGATTGAAAGAGGTGGGCCCTAACTCATCCTGTTTTACACCTCTGCTTGATGTATGCATATATATATATACCCTGCATAAAAGTTCGGTTTTCTCTTTAACTTAATATCGCATAGATACTTTGCCCGGTGTTTTCGAGATCCTCGTATTCTGATTTCTCTATTTTTGTGTCCATACTGTTCCAACAGCTATCTTATGTACAGATAACTTTTGTTCTTTAAACATAATTCAGTCCAAAAATTTTTATCGTTGCCCAAACTTGCTATCCACTCTTAACTCTGTCCCTCCACGCTACTAGAGCAATGAAGATTATGATTCTAGATGATTTTTGTAAATCAAAACCAGATCTATCCTTTATTTATCTCATTCGTTTTTCTTCTAGTAGAAATATCTTACATTTTTTGACAATTACTATCTACTAAGGTTAGTTTCACTGCTAATACTTGTGTCTAGGTTATTATTAACTACTTGTTGTGAAATGTTTTACGCGTGAGTGCTTAAAATAACTATTTCTGTGATTAGTTATATTTTAATGTTCAGACAGGTTTTAGTGGCCTTAACTTTGTGCATCATAAATAACTGTTTTGTGAGAGTCAGGGCTTTCCTGATGAATATTTTGGGCACAGTTGTTGTTCCTATATAGTAGCTTATTAGTAGTAATTCTTGAGCTCGTCTGTTGTATCTATGTATGATAACCGTTTATTTAGTATTTACCGTTATGTCTTGATCAAGTTATCGTTTTTCCTCTCCCTTCTCAGTTTATTTATCAGCGCCTCGCGTCGCTAGTCCATGTTATATTCCCTTCATTTCTGAAGATTTATTGCATTTTGTTTTGATTAGTGTAACGAATTTTTGTGATGAGCATATGTGTCAATTTCTTAGTAGTCTTTTTACTCCATGAAGAATAAATATATCAACTATCTTATAATCTTAGTATCCAACATTACTACTGATAATAATTCATTTCCTTATTATTTATATTTACAAATATCTTCATTGTTTTTTTCTTTCTGTTACGATTTATTGAAACAGATTTACTTAATTTTACTTCAGATAAAAGCATCGCAGCAATTATTATTATTTTGTCTTGGTTGTTTCATCTTGTTGACTTACTGTATTAGCTGCTTCGTACCTCGCAGCTCATTTCTTCGTTTCTGCAGAAAAGTAACTTATTTTCCTACTTATTTAAAATGTACGCATACAGATTAACTACTTAAATTATTAAGACAAATTGTTTTAAGATAATATTACTTCGTTGTCAATTCTTATATGTAGTTTATAATCCTAACATAATTCTTTGTATTTTGACTTTGTCACAACACTTTGTTATTAACAAATTTATGGGTAAAAGGGACATGTATACCACACAATGAAATGTTGCTCTTCTTTGTGTTCTTACTATGTATATTGAACACTGCTTTACCTTTCTTTCCGCTCAGGCTATTTTTACTTTAGATTGTGGTATTTTTGTGCCTAGGGAATTGTTTCATTTATCATCTTCTGGCTGTGAATTAATCAAGCGCCCTAATGTACGTCTGTTATAAAGATAAATATAGATAGATCAGAATTTCCTCAATTTATATTAGGAACAACGTCGTACATGTTTTACTCAGACTGTTACAACACATTGTTTTATTTACAAAAGATTTTTTAAACTATACACTTCTTGAAGAAGTACATCAATTATTAGTGGGCAATAATAATAGTTCATTAGTACCTAAGTAAGTCTAATGTTTAACACAAATATCTCATACAACTCTTATCAGTACTATAGACAACGATCATTAAGCAAAACTGTTTATTCGGGTGATTAATTATCTTTCTATTTGTTTATTCCCATTACCTCACGCGAAAATTGACTAGTAACAAGGTTATGTATTTCTTTTCGCATAACTAGAAATTCAATAATTAGTTGACTATTTAATTTAAATAAAGTTGTCATAACATTGATACAAATATGCACGTGTATGCCATAGTTCGCACCGCGTACATATGTAGCAGGTTTAGCACTAATAATCAAGGACATTGTAACGTTGAGAAACCTTGATTTTTTTTACATTCAACGCATACGGCTGTTTCAATATGCGACACACGAAGATATTAAACATGCGCTTAGTCTTTACCTTGTTTAATGAGTACCGTATTGGTGAAATAACTCGGTGCACATAAACAATAAGTTGATTGAAAGAAAATTGATCGCCAATATTTTACAATAGATAAACGATGCATGAAACACTTGCCAAACACAAAAGTTTAATTCTTTAAATAAGTACAACTGAATATGCAGTATTATTTCCATTTTTACACGCAACGTTTTTAGTTATTCTGATATTTTGGTGGATGATCGCCGTTCGACTAAGTGCTTCCATTTTTCAGAAACTTTCATACAACCCCATAAATTTTTCATTTGTTTGATCTCATTTTCACTAAACATGGGTCCCGTCACATTCTTTTCGAGGGGATTCATCATTTGACAAAAATCGGTACTCGTCAGAGTTTCTGGGATAGTTAATTGCACCATGTCATCCGGGTTAAAAATAACTATGATGGGGAAAATTCGATAAGGAACTTTGCTATCAGCTTAAATAATGTATTTTATTTTACAGTAGTTTGCATAGCTTTGTGTGAATGCATGTGCTGCCAAGCCTACAACTTAACTAGGACACAAATTCTTTATAAAAACTAAATGAAAAGCAGTTGTAAAAATTTAAAAAGGATACAAGCTGTGATAGAGTCTTGATTAATGGTGAACTTCGTCTTTGTGAATTTTTCGTAGACCGATAATTTCGCCCTTAAAGAAAAACAAAAATAAATGAGGACAGTTAATCGATACTCACAAACACCAAAGACAAGCAGAATAGAACTCGTTTTCATGTATTTGGGGCTATTTGAATAAAATTGATACCTACATCAATATGTTTGGAAGATTCAGTGTAGTAGTTCACAAAAGTCAGTTTAGCCTGGAGTTCGAGCCATTTGAAAATGTTTAGTTTGAATACTTATATAGTTCATTGATTCAGGAATAATTCGATTTCTAACATGTAGGTACAATTTAAGAAATATTCTTATTTCACATCTGGCATAAAGTTTAGTGGAAAAGAATGTTAGAATTTCGCTCTTACTACTAGTTGAGTCCTGTTTTCTCGTACAGATGTTACTAGGATTTTGATTAGAATCAAGAATGTAACTTAGCAACAGGTGAACTCTGACTAGTCAGAAATATTGTTCTCAGACACTAATGTTATCTGTTTTTGTATGTAAAAAAAGTCGAAAACTGTACAATTTCAACCTAGAGGGAGGAAGTTTATAGAAAAAATGGGCGGATGAAGATAAGTAACATGGACTAATAATGTTTTGAAGAGCCCAATAAGTACGCCTGGGATTTCCTATACTGCTCAAAACGATAGTTTATGAAATAATAAATCTAGAAGCCTCGTGAAGCATGTTCTAGTGTAGACAACCAAACACATGATATATATCGTGTCGATAAGAACAATTTATTCAGCTTTGTCATTCAGTTGTTCAAATTTAATTGAAGTCCGAAAGTTATTTATTTATTTAAACACATATATATTGGTACAAGAGGGCACCAGGTACATATGCGCCACACAAAATAATGAAAGTAGGAAGAGAAGGGATGAAAAGATAAGGCGGACTAAAATGTACAACCAGAAGACTTTCAAATAGGAAAGTAAGAACCATACTTTATGTAGAAAGTAAAAGAAGGTTGCAGCAGGATCGCCACTGGCTTCTATTCTGAGTCATATCTGATAACGTCTCTAGCCACTGTGTTGCACCATCTCTCGGACCCCAACCAGGGAGTCGTGAAGGACCAACGGAAGCTAGCCCTTTGCAGCTTTCTTTCATGCCACGACACCATGTCATACACTGACCTCCTCTCCGCTTTTTCCAACCAGCCCGAGCTTTGGCAAATAATGCACGCCGAGGAATTCTCTGAGACGACATTTGTAGAACATGTCCAAGCCACCGAAGTCGATGTGTTCAAGATGGTGACACCAATTGGATTATCGTCTCTGCGCCCAAACACACGATGCCGAACCTCTGCATTACTAACATGGTGTTGCCACTGAATGTCAGCAATCCTTCGGAGACAACGATGATCGAACACAGAGAGACGTCTAACATCCTCAACTCGGAGAGGCCAGGTTTCACAAGCATAGAGCAAAACTGCTCTCACCGACGCGTTGTAGATCCGACCTTTTACAGCCAGACTAACATCACGAAGGCGCCAAAGATGGCCCAGATTGGCATAAGCCGCTCTGGCTTTCATTATACGTGCATCAATCTCATAACTCACGCCACCGCCAGCACTTATGCAGCTACCCAGATACACGAACTTCTCAACTACTTCGATCTCCTCACCATCCAGGGTGAGTACAGGATGAGAATCCTGCCAGTCTTGTAGAAGTACTTTGCACTTGGAGGGTGCAAAGCACATGCCGTACCTGCGGACACTGATTGCCAACTGATTAAGTGCTGATTGCATGCCTTGGGCATTATCGCACAGTAAGACAATATCATCCGCATACTCAAGGTCGAGAAGTCGTTCTCCAGGCAACATATCCACACCGCCATTACTTACATCCATCAGAGCTGTTTCTAGGATGTCGTCGATGGCAAAGTTGAAGAGGAATGGTGAGATCGGGCAACCCTGCCTAACCCCACTGCTCGAATGGAACAAGGGAGAAAGGTGGTTGTATGCCCTCACTCTGCCTGAGGTGTTCGTATACAGGGCCTTTAAGATGTTAATGAACTTCTCAGGCACACCCTTCTTCAATAGACAATCCCAGAGAACAGTCCTGTCCAACGAATCAAAGGCCGCCCTGATATCAAGAAACACTACGATTGTTGGCCTGCGATAAGTATGACGGTGTTCTAACATTTGGCGGAGGGTGAAGATGTGATCAATGCATCCTCGACCAGAACGAAAACCAGCCTGCTCCTCGCGAGTCAATCGTTCTCGGGTTTTAAACAACCTACGAAGAATGATAGAAGCCAATAGTTTGGACGCAATCGAAAGTAGACTTATCCCCCGATAGTTATTGCAGGAACAACGTGAACCCTTTTTAAAGATAGGGACGACTATTGACTCATTCCAAGATGTTGGAACATTTTCTTGCTCCCAAACCTTTCCAAACAATAAAGTCAATTCCTTAGTCAGAAAGTCAACACCATCTTTAAAAAGAGCCGGAGGTAAGTCATCTGGGCCAGGTGATTTATAACGTTTCAAGAGTTGGAGTTCCTTGAGGACTTCCGCCTCGTTTGGTGGATCAGTCGTCACCGGCCATGGGGGGCAGGGCAAGCTGGTCGATGTTGCCGGAGCAGCAGGCGTCGTGAAGATGCAACCAATGCTCATCTATACTTTTCGGTGGGGTGGTAGCTAGCCTAGAGGCTAGCTCAGCTCGATACTTACTTGCAACAGAATTTGCAGCCAGTTTACTAATATCAATCCGTTGGTGGTGGTCAATCCTTCGGCCACTGAAAAGTAAGGTGAGATTGGCGCAGACCAGGGCATGATCAGACTCCAGATAGGTACTCCAAAAGGAGCGGCAGTCTTGTACACAACCACACCAGCGGTAGCTGATCGCGATGTGATCAATCTGAGTCCAGGCTTGGGATGCAGAGGGAGGACGCCAGGTGGCACACCAGCGATGACTGTGCCGGAAGTGAGTGCTGGCCAGAAACAGGTTGTGGTCTGTGCACAGTTGCAGCAAACGGTCCCCGTTATCTGTCCTGCAGCCAACAAGTCCCCATCGGCCACCTAAACGACTCTCTTCTGTGCCTAGACGCCCGACCTGAGCATTCAAGTCTCCGGCTAGTACTACAATATCTGTCGAACGCGCTTTCTGGAGAAAAACTGTTAACTGATGGTAAAACTCATCCTTGATTGCATCGGGGCTGCAATCTGTCGGGGCATAGGCGGAGATGACGAAAAGACATCGTTTCTCACGCCGATTTCTTCTCACTTTGATGGAACTTTCTAATCTAACAGCACATAACCGACTGTTAATGGGGATCCAATCGATTAGTGCTGCCTCAGCCCTGGCGCTTAGTGCGACACCAACGCCAGCAAGACCAGACGAAGATGCCGCAGGGTCCCCGGATAAGCGCACGTGGAACAAGCTTTTCGAGGCGACAGATGGAGAGCGGATTTGTAGTACTTCACTAGAGTCTTGAATACGGGTTTCGGATAGACAACAAACATCAACATTAAGACCTTCCAAAGACATAGCCAGCCCTATCTGTTGTCTGATATGCATTAGTGTGCGAACGTTGAAGGAAGCCAGCTTGAACGGCGTACGTGGTTTCAGAAAGACTGCTTCAGTATTCATTATCGGTGGAAGCATTCACTTTCAACTAGACAGTGACTTTAGATCGTTTAGATAGGACAGATTTTCCACCATGGGCGAGCTGCTGCATAAGTTGAAAAGTAAGGTTACACAAATTGGGGATAAAAGGGGGTGAGTTAGCGATATGGTGAATAATAATAATAATAATAATAATAATAATAATAATAATAATAATAATAATAATAATAATGATAATAATAATAGTAAAGGTAATAATAATAATGTAAATTGTCTTGCTTTTAGTATGAGCGAGGATATTATCGTCAATAGAGTTCATCATTTCGTTCATTTGTGTGTGGGCTTTGATACTGCCCGGGTGCCCAAACCGAAGCAGGGAAGTCCGAAAGTACTGTACTTACTAAACAGGTCCATATTGTCGTTTCGAGGATATCTAAAGGGTGCATCCGAAAGCTCACGAAGAAAGCAACATGCAGATCAAACTAACCTCCGTTGGCTTTGAAATAAATACTGGAGTTCAAGATTTTTGGGCTTCAACTATGTCCAATGTAAGGCTAACCAACTAAATCAAATTATGATTGCGCTATTATCGCGAATGAGTTGAACTTGAATGTTTGAATCACTGAATTCCGATATGGTCTTTCTACCACCGGACACTAACAGTGTGGTGTTGTCTACTTATATCTATATATGTAGTATATGGTATGGGTCAGACACAAAATGTATTTTGGCAGAAGACCGATGAAGAAAGAACTGAAATGAAACGCAAACGTCTGGAAAATGCATGAGCAATGGAATAAGAGAAGAAACAGTCAAGATTGAAACAATTGGTTGTTAATTTGCAAATTGACTGTTCATTGTTTGGTAATCAGAATTTATTGAGATAGTCTGTAATCTTTGCTTAAATACATTCGATTGTCCCCAACTAGTGTTCTGTTCACTACAACAGTACCTCAGGAAATCGTCTACCTGCTGAAATTCGACGTGATGCCACGTTGGATGGATACTGATTACAGTAAATCTTGTGTCATAATATGGAAACGTTACTAACAAAACACACAAAAATGTGACTACTTACTTAGCAGTTTTTAGTTTTAAGTGATGTTCTTTTTTGGCTTTTTCCTTTTCAAATAAATCTGCATTATATCGGGCTACACTCTGTTCAAGTTTTTGTGATAACTGCTCACATTCCCGTTTCAATTCATCATCTTCGAAACGCACATTATCTAATATGGCCTCAGCGGTGCTGATAGCTAATTGTAGGTCCATCTGAGATAGATCAATGGGTAAATGGTCTAGATGAAATAAGATAGAATTAGGAATACAGTTGGGAATAAGAACGGAATGTAAGAACTACTACAAATGTGGAACGACTCGAATAACCGGATCACAATCAGCATTGCTAAAATTATTTAACAAGTTGAATAGTATAGAAGTCTACAAAGAGCTGGTGTTAATAGAAAATAGCGAAAACTCGAGCAATGAAGGTTACGAAATAGCGTTTGGTTTGCGCATTTATATGTTAGTCAAATAATAGTTTGATACAACTACAACCGTCATTTAGCATGTCACCTAAGACCTTTAACTACAGTATACGGAACGTACCTTTTGATGTGACCATTTTTATAATAATCAAAATCGGCTACTCACGTGCTAGAATGAATTGACGTGAATATGCGCTTTACATGTATAAATTTTGATTAAAAATATGACAAATGAAAATGTTCAACTCTGCTACACTCATTTTAATATCTTTATATGAAGCCTAATCGTTGAACCACTGGGAGATGGCAAATAGTTATAGATGATGTTAAAGAAACATCCTGCAATATCTAAAAGCAAAGCTGTTGAACAGAAGGGGACTAAACAAGATCCTGATAAATTCTAAACCCTTAAGCCCTCCATAGATCTTAGAAGTTTCTAAAGACTATTAGTTTTCTGACAGCTGATTGTAGGACTGACAACTTTATAGTACAAATATCACGTTGCGTCAGCTTTTAGTGCTTCATTAGTTTCTATTCCTCAGCAGAATAACTTCTGAACATAGGCGTAACATGACTGGAAATATATACTGGTGTATAAAAACGTGATGACCCAAAAAGTACAAATTAAAATGTCTGTTTACAGACTCAAAATGTTAAGGTACTCAATGCTTACCAGCATTCGAAAAATCATCTAACTGGCTGACGGGATTCAGTCTTAGGGATAACGAATCATTTAAATGTCTTTCTACAATAGCCTTGATGGCACCGACCTGTTCACTTAAAATGACCATTTCTTGTAGTTCGATCTCTAGCACGGTAGTTTGAACAACGCGTGAAACCAGCAGACAAGTAAATTGGACGGATGAGACTGAAGTGATGTATCTATCAGCAACAAAGACAGTATAAATTTTACATGAAAAATAGCTAAAAGGAAAACAAGTTGACAAGAACTACATAAATATTTCACAGATCACAAGACTGGAGATATTTTAGACCATCAGACAATGACTTAGGAGTTCTACCGAATCAGATCCTAATTCGTGCTGCCGAGTTGTGCATAATCTCATTCAATATCCATCGTCAATATCGATCAAATAAAAAACGGAAACTCGTTGAAATACTTTGTGCTGATAACTCTGTATTGTACCAAAAATACAGTATTGAATAAAGCTAATAGTAACAAATAATAATAAATCCCCAATTTCTGTCACATTGTTTGTGTGGGTGTTGACATTTGACTGTCCAAGCCGAGGTACATGGTAAGAGGTCGAGCCTGGGACATCACTTCCTTAGCCACTCAATTATTGCCGAGGTCGTGTGGGCTCGGTGATGCCACCGATAACATTTTCCTTCAGATATCCGCATCATTTGGTGATGTCAGTCACCGATTAGAGTATAGAAAAGCCTTTGGTACTGGTGTATGATTCAAGCTTCTTCCGAAGCACTCTTACAGGGTGTTAGTAGATTGTTAGCATTTTTTATGTGTTATCGACAACACTGATTGTCCCATTGCGACCAGGCTTTTAGAACAGCTTATGTAATACCACAGAGACCATTTTACGTATGTACTTACGGTCGAGACGACTTCTTAGGTAAGGCATTCGCAATTTCATTTGCTAGTTCTTTCGAAGCTCCCTTAAATTTCGCTGGCAGTAAAAATGAATCACGATATTTGGATTGAGTAACTTTCCTTGCCATCACTGGCGGTTTCGGCGTTATTAAGACAAGTAACCTTATGTATCCATCATGCCCCAATGATTCCGGCATGGACCCATTAGGATTTTTATTTGAAAGTACTACTATCCAAATCTTTGACAACTCCTCAGAGATTGAGTGAAGACTTTTAGCGCTTAAAGGCAATCGGTTGATAAAACATTCAAGATTTATGAGAGAATGGAATACGCTTTATGCAGTTTCAAACTTTTATAAGTTCTTTGAATGCAGTTAGAAACCAAAAGAGCACATAATATTTTGATCCTTTTTGAACATAATATAAACGTATAAATCTATTTTACTACTAACATGGGGAATACAATGAATGAAACAACAAAAGTGAAGCAATAACGTGTTGAGTGAATTCAAGCAGTAAGGAGATCTAAAGGAGCCGCAAACAACAACTGAAAATTATACGAGGGGCAAAATAAATTACACTAAAGGCACTACTTCAAATGTGTCACAATACGGTAAATAGTATATACCGGTTGTTTCAAACAAGAGAAAATGTTAAACAGTTCACGTATTCACGAAATTTTATAAACACTTTTCTTGCTATCAGTTATCTGTGCTATTATCAATTTAAATTCTTGTTTGCAGCAGCTTCTGAATTGTTTCAATGTAGATTTCCGGAAGTGAATGTTTTACGGTGTAGAGACAGTGAAATGTCAGTGAACCCTAGTCAAATCACCCGGTAGTTGGGTCACTAAATATCGAACAGATCATCAATCCGCGTCAAGGTTGTAGCTGTCAATAGATCACCGAAATCAATAGCTTTTTAAGTGTTCGACATTGGATGCTTACCCACATTAGTTTCAGTGGACTTGTTTAGCTGAAGGCGTTCGGTCAAGCATCCACACGAGATCGCGTTACAACACATTGTGGAAAACATCTCCTACGATCGCTAGCCAGATTAGATCGATCGCTCCTCGGTATATTGATGATGCATCAAATATATCTTTCCAACCTCTTCACTTCTGACTTCTGATTTTAACTGATTATAGGTGTTACTGGTTTATAGTTGTCAAACTACAATAGTGGTGGTATCTTCAGTGGTGAGCCCGGCGTGATCTGGTATACCAAACGATAAACTGTGAGTCTGTTCCTTTTTGGAACTTCATTGATCATTGTTTTGCTTTATTTGACTTTTATATATTGTGATATACTTTTTTTCGGGTTTTCATACAAACTTTAGTTATCTATTTTTCGTTCATTACAATACTTGATTTTTCAACATGACGGAACAGACAATCCAAGTATTTAAGTTTAAGACTATCCCCAATACCACGCAGAGGCCGACTTTAACGAGCACGACATTACGCACACTGTTCCTCTCGGTTAATATGGCACTACCGCTCAAATTCAACAGGTATGTCACACCTAGTATGTTTACTAGTTATTTTTTGGAACCTTACGAAACTCTAAAACGATCGATTCTGAGATGTGGAGATCTAACCGGTCGACAAAGGTCAGACAAACTCCTCAATAACATCGACCTGCAACATAGTTCTGCGGCAGACATGTTGTTAAGTTGAGAGAGAGGATATCGGCCAACGAACTTTCGATGATGGCCTATTCAGACAACTTTTCTTGTCTAAACTTACTCAGCAGGTGCAAGCAGTTCTTGTCTCGTTTCAAAACAACCCCGTAGACAAACTGGCTGCATCTGAGGACTGAATTTTAGATATTACAAAATTTACTAACGTCGAGGTCTTTTCAGTTAAAGAAAAACCTCGAACCACCCAGAATGACATCACCGAATTATGTCATACACTCACACGATAACTTCGATTTCGTAATGATCGTAGACGGTCAAGAACCTTGAGAAGAAGCGTTTCACATGGGCGATCTACCTCTAAACCACGCGAGACAGATAACCCCGACTGGTGCTGGTATAATAACCAGAGTGGCAAGTCTTCTAGAAATTTCAGGAAACTCTGCAATTACCAGAACTCCAAGTCGACCGACACGAATAAAAACTTGGGAAACTACCCAGTCGGCAAGCGTTAACGGAAACCGTAGCCGGCGAACATAGCCGCCTCCTATACGTCACTGATGTGACCACGAAAAATCGCTACCTTGTCGACACTGGCGCAGACGTTAGCGTTCTTTCCGCGAATTCTAACTACAAGCTTCACGAGTCTGTTTTAAGCCTACATTCGACAAACGGAAAACCGATCTCCCCATATGAGAAAAGGTACGTCTACCTTAACGGGATGTTACGCAAACGCATTCACTGGATTTTTGTGGTCGCAGATGTCATTATGCCAGTCATTGGTATAGACCTGTTACAAAACCACAATCTACTCATCGACACACGCTCACGAAGTTTAATAGACGGAAACACGAAGTTATCTGTTTGCGTAACTCCTTTTTCTAGTTGCAGATTATCTCCAGTCACAATTAAGCACACCATAGACCCCTTATATCAACCATCACTCGATGAATACTCAGGGACATATCAACCACAACCGAAATTGGCATGTGTAACCAGCAATGCTACACATCACATCTCGACTACAGGACCACCTGTATTCTCAAAAGCAAGACGACTGGCTCCCGAAAAGCTTAGGTTGGCTAAAAACGAATTCGACCACATGATAGACTTAGGAATAATTCGACCGTCAAATAGCCCTTGGTCATCTCCCTTGCACATGGCCCCTAAAAAGGACAGCAATGATTGTCGTCCAATTGTTGATTGTCGGCGTCTGAACGGTAAAACCATTCCCGATCGTTACCTGTCGCCCCACATTAACGATTTGACAGCTACCTTGAAAGGGATAACTGTCTTTACGGAAATCGACTTGGCTAAAGCTTATAACCAAACCCCTATGGCAACCAACGACATTCCAAAAACCGCAATCATCACTCCTTTCGGCTTCTACGAATTTTTCCGAATATTTTTCGGCCTAAGAAATGCCGCTCAAACCTTCCTAAGGTTCATAGACGACGTTTTCCGTGGTCTCAACGTCGTACATGCGTATGTTGATGACTGTCTGATGGCACGTCTGGACAGAGAATCCCATCTACAGCATCTAGATATTGTTTTCGAACGACTGCAAAGACAAGGCATTACAGTAAACATTCAGAAATGCCAAATCGGAACCAAATCCTTAGACTTCTTAGGACAAACTATTGATGGCCAAGGCATCCGACCCCTTAGCAAAGTCATTCTGGATTACCACGTTTAAGCAGTTGCGCATTTTTAATGGCCCTGTAAGTTTCTACAGACGGTTCATACCGAAATGCGCATCCCTTATGCAACCGATAACCGAGCACCTTCGTATAAATGCGAAATCAATTAATCTAGACGACACCGCTCGAAAAGCACTATCCACAGTTGAGGAATATATCGCTAAGGCAACCCTGCTCGCACACCAGGACACTCAAGCGCCCATTAGTATCGCCATAGACGCATCTGACTCAGCAATCGGAGGAGTCTTACAACAATGGGTTAACCACTCTTGCCACCCTTAGGATTTTTCTCGAGACGGTTGCTAGACGCTGAATCTAGGTACAGCTTTTTCGGTAGGGAACTCCTAGCTATGTATTGTGCTGTACGGCATTTCCAACCTTCCATCGAAAGAAGAGAATTCACGCTTTTTACCGACCATAAACCTCTTACCTTCTCTTCAAGTTCATCTTCAGACGGATACTCACCCCGAGAGTCTCGACAACTAAACTAAACCCTTAGGCTCTTTCAAAACCCCTAATGCTCGTTTAAACCATGTTCTTCTTGATTTGGTAGGACCATTACCAGATATAAATGGATACTCTTGTCTCTTAACCTGCGTAGACCGTTTCACTCGATGGCCAGAAGCAGTACCTATTAAGGACATTACTGCTGAAACAGTGGCCCGCGCTTTCGTCGAACGATCGTTAACATATTTCAGGTGCCATTCAACCACCACTACAGACCGCGGACGCCAGTTCGAATCTGGACTTTTCCGTTGTCTGACCACACTTATAGAAATCACTGGTTTTCTAACGACTGCCTACCACCCACAAGCAAACGGGTTGGTAGAACGTTTTCATCGACAACTAAAGGCTTCACTATCAGCTACAAACGTTCCACAGC